TTTCTACATTACAAACTCTGTGAGAGATTACTTGTAAGAAAGGAAAACAATTAAGCAAAACTAACAATACAGTGACCTCACCTGAACGTGCACGTAACATTCCATAATTCTTTATCAGTAGTATCTCTCTCTAAAAAAAAAACAATAGAAATCCATTTTCTCTCTCACTCCTTACATCACTGAAAAAAAAGGAAAACAAATTTCTTTTAACAAATACACAGAGTCAAGCAAAACAACTTCCTCATTGGCTATATATAAAAAAATATATACCTTACTTTGGACCCTAACTCTATCACCTCTTTTTGAAGAGGTGGATAGCACGCTTCATCTCTAGTTCTTTGGAATCATGGATGGTCATTGCATTTGTGAGAAATGAAAGAGTTAAGTTTCCACATAAGTAGATAAGAAATCAGCACAGACAGGCTAACTTCTGGGGGGGGAGTGATAACACAATTCTAGGCACATAATGTATGTTAGGGGTGGGGCATATAAGGAAGATTGTAACCCAGAAGGATTAGGACCAAAACTGATCCAGAAGGGAGGAGTTAGGCAATTACTAACTATAAAGCTTGCCCTGGTTTCTTTTACCAAATGCATTTCTCTCCTTCCAAGGAGGTACCCAGCTTCTCATGAGAATTGAAAGGAGCACTTCAACCTCTTTAATAAAAAGTCTTTGAGACCAGCCTTTGGAACTGAGTCTGGGGTTATCTTTATAACAGCTTTCAAAGTTGTTTGTCTTTACAGTATTGTTGTTATTGTATAAATTGTTTTCCTGGTTCTGTTCATTTCATTCTTCATCAATTTATAAAAGTCTTCAAAACTTTTAAAATATTGATGTTATACTTAACTGATGCAGTCATTCTGGAGAGCAATTTGGAACTATGCCCAAAGGGCTATAGAACTGTGCATACCCTTTGATCGAGCAATACCATTACTGGGTCTATATCCCAAAGACATCCAAAAAAAGGGGAAAGGACCTTTTTGTACAAAAATATTTATAGCAGCTCATTTTGTGGTGGCAGAGAATTGGAAATCAAAGGGATGCTTATCAATTGGGGAATGGCTAAACAAGCTGTGGTATATGATTGTAATAGAATATTATTGTGCTGTAAGAAAGGACAAGCAGGACGATTTCAGAAAAACCTGCAAAGACTTACATGAACTGATGCATAGTGAAGTGAACAGAACCAGGAGAACATTGTACATAGTAACAGCAACATCGTCTGATGAAAAATTGTGAATGACTTAGCTATTCTCAGCACTATCCAAGATAATCTCAAAGGACTAATGATGAAACATACTACTCCAGAGAAAGAACTGGTATTGATTAAATATAGACTGAAGCATGCTATCTTTCACTTTCTTTCTTTCATTCATTTTTTCCCTTTTATTTGAGTCTTCTTGTACAAAATGACTGTATGGAAATGTTTTACATAGTTGCACATGTATAACCTATATCTGATTGCTTACTGTCTCAAGGAAAGGGGAGGAGAGGGAGGGAGAGGAGGGTTAGAATTTGGAACTCAAAAGTCTAAATAAAAATGTCAAAAAATTGAAAAAAATATTGATGTTCTAATATAAATTATTCTTCTGGTTTTTCTTACATCTCTTTGCATCAGTATGCATTTTTTTCCATGTTTCTTTGAAATAATTTATTTCTTCATTTCTTATAGGACGGTAGTATTCCTTCACATTCACATACCACAATTCAGTCATTCCTCAATTGATTGGCATCCTTTTAGTTTCCAGTTTTTGTTTTTTGCTATCACAAGAAGAACTGCTGTAAATATTTATGTATGTACATGTAGGATCTTTTCTCTAGTGTTTTTTTTTTTTTATCTTTTTGAGGTATAGGCCTAGCAATGGTATAGCTTGGTCAAAGGGTATGAACTGTTTGGAAACTTTTTGTGTATAATTCTTAATTGTTTTTGAGAATGGTTATATCCACCCATAGGTTCACCAACATTATATCAATGTGCCTATTTTATCACAGCCCTTCTAACATGTATTATTTTCCCTTTTTTTCTTTTAGTCATCTTTGCCAATCTGATGGGTGTTAGGTAGGATCTCAGAAAAGCTTTAGTTTTCATTTCTCTAATTAGTAGTGATTTTTTTTTCCATATGGGTATATATAGCCTGGGTATCTTCCCTTGAAAACTTCTTGTTCATATCCATTAGACCATTTATCAATTGGGGAATGGTTTTATCCTTATAAATTTGATTCAGGGGCAGCTAGGTGGCACAGTGGATAGAGCACCGGCCCTGAAGTCAGAAGGACCTGAGTTCAAATCCGGCCTCAGACCAAACACTTGACACTTAGTAGCTGTGTGACCCTGGGCAAGTCACTTAACCCCAATTGCCTAAAAATGAAAAAAAAATTAAAAAAAATTTGATTCAGTTTCTTATATATCTTAGAAATGAGACTTTTATCAGAGAAACTTGCTGCAATGTTTCCTTTTGAATCTTAGCTTTCTTGGATTTGTTTGTGCAAATCCTTCTTAATTTTATGCAGTCAAAATCACCTACTTTGTCTTGTGCGATTGTCTTTATCATTTGGTTGGTCATAAACTGTTCTTCTATCTATAGTTCTGACAGGTAATTTTTTTCCATGTATCTCCATGATAACTATTATTCAGAATATTTCTAGATTTCCTCTTTTGGAAATGCCTTTTGGGACCAGTTCATACACAGTAAAATGCCTCACCGCTTTATAACCACACCCTGTGTTTGTAGACTGTGACTTAGTTCAGTCACCAACCTTATTCAGCAGGCTTGTTTGCCTTTCATTATTTTTGACTTCTGGCTATTTTCAAAAACTAAATCTACCCATGAGAGACCAAAGAGTTGCCCACCAGAGTTGATCACTTTTGTAGTTCCACCTTTGGAGTCTTATTTGGCCATCTAGCTTGTGGTGAAGGATAGAGAAAATATCACTTTGTATGCTTAGAGTCAGGGCAGCTAGATGGCACAGTGGATAGAATCCTGGGCCTGGAGTCAGAAGGACTCATAAATCTGGCCTCAGACACTTGGACTAGCTGTGTGACTCTAAGCAATCACTTAACTTGTTTGCCTCAGTTTCCTTATCTATAAAATGAGTTGAAGAAAATGACAAAACATTCCAGTATCTTTGCTGAGAAAACTCCAGATGAGGTCAGAGTCGGGCATGACTGAACAACCACCACACCCTTAGAGTCCCTACTTTGCATCTAGTGGGAGCTGATCAAATACTTGTTGGTTGATGGATCAAGCTCAAGATGGTGGTTTCCTTAATTCTAAGAGGCAGCCAGCCAGCTCAGATATGTGTAGAACACATTATGCAATCAAGTGGCAGCAATCTAGATAGATGGGCCAATTTCTTCTCATCCTTCTCTGACCATTTCTCTTAAAAAGTTGCCCAGGGGGTTGAGAGCTGCTTTTAGGTATGTGCCATTGGTCCCTTTATCCCTGTCCCCCATTTTTCTTTGGTTCCTATCCCCAACCTCAGCAGCAGAGCTGGGTGAGAGTCTTCACAATAGTTTTTCCAATATCATTAGGACAGCTCTGCTTGAAGTTGCATATTGTAAAACATACTTCATCTATGTTTTAATTAATGATTATTAATGATAGTGAAATCTGTTCTCCCTCCTCTTTCCAAGTGATTAAGCTAGTGTTGTTTAGTTGGTTTTGGGATAACTGCTGAGCATCAAGGGCTTTCAGAACCAACTGCTGGATGAGCTGGTTGCCCTATAAGAAGCCTGTATGGGCTGCATAGGGAATGGGTATTTTGCTCCTATTGTCTATGTCAGTGGTGTCAAACTCAAAAGAAACATTTCTGTGGGCTGCATATTGACTTAGAAAACCACAAATTAACCTTATTTATATTGTATTGTATTTTTATTTATTTTATTAAACATTTCCCAATTACATTTTAATCTAAGTTCTGGCCACACTCAGGAGTTTTGTAGGAATGTAGCTACAGGCCTTGCGTTTAACACCTCTGGTCTACATTGGATATGCTGCTTGGCTCAGTCCTCAAAATGCATCATTTCCCTCTGATGCATCCCTTCTGGTTTATAGCCAGGGCATTTGGTAAGCTGCCTTTTGGGATGGGCAGTTGTATTTTTTTTCCTGGAACCTTGCTTTGCAAGTTTTGAGCCTCCCAACTAAACTGTTTTGAAATAGTCTCAAGGTACTCAGACTGTCATAGCTTTAGACTGTGAGATTCATTCCGCTTCATGGAATCCCTAACTTTCTCTAAGGTTTAGCTGAAGTGATAGGTCTTACAGGAAGGTTTATCCTGATACTTCCCGCACCCCCACCCCACTCCCCCAGGTGCTAGTATTCTCCTTCCCCAAATTCTACTTCGTAGATTTTGTATTTGCTTACTTGTGTACATGTTGTTTTCTCCAGATAGAATGTAAGAAATAATCTGAACCAACCCCCTTCATCTGCCCCATTTACCAATGAGGATGTTGAGACTAAGACTGACTATAAATGGGGCTGTATAGTACCATGGAATTACTAAACATCCATCAAAAGTAGAGCAGGGATCCAATCTTGGAGCAAGAGATTAAAGGGCTCTTCCCACCAGCTCCATTGTTGTTATCTGTCTCCTTGAAGTAATTTGCGTGGCACTGGTGCTAGCAGGCAAGAACATAGTGGGAGTTCAAAGGAATTTACTGACACCAATAACTACCAGAGGAACCTAGGGACCTTCTTATTGAGGAGCACGGTGAATGTGGTTAGCAAAAAAGATTTTGACTTTAGCAACCCTTTTGGTTTTTTTACTTTATGCTTTTTGGTGAGGCAATTGGGGTTAAGTGACTTGCCTAGGGTCACATAGCTAGTAAGTGCTGAGTGTCTCAGGCCAGGTTTGAACTCAGGTTCTCCTAACTCCAAGGCTGGAGCTCTATCCACTGCACCATCTAGCTGCCCCTTTTAGCAGCCTTTTTGAGTGTTAGCTGGGTGTGGCCATGGGTCTGACTTTAAAACAAAAAAGGTGAAAATGTGATTAACCCTAGGTATGTTGGTGATATCCACTGTATCAGCATGTCGTAGAAGAAACCCAGCAGCAAGTAACACCTTCAGCTTGATGAAGAAGCAGCAAACAGCATTTTGGAAGAGAAGAATAGCAGCCTGTGAAGGCTGAATAGAATAACGTAAGATATAGCTAGTTGCTGGGAGATAAAGCTCTGAGACCTATTCTAGCTGATATACAGCCCTAGGGTTGGGAGTTGTGCAGGGAATATCCCATCTCCCACCAGCAGTATGAGAATCTATAGAAGATTGAGCCCCTTTTGTAAACGGAGGTTTTCCTTTTAAAATTACTTTGCTATTTTGTGTTAATGAAAAGTTTTGTTATTTGACTTAATACTGCTGAGAGAATGTACTGGATGGAGGCTTAAGCCACATATATACATAATTATGAGTTGCTAGACGTATCACATACTAAATGTGGGGAAGCAAGATTGCACAGGACCCATGCTGTTAACTAATCTTGGTGCAAAGGTGACTCTGGTTCTAAGAGGCTGTGTCAGCAGACTACAAGGTCTGGTAGGTTCTACCAAACCAGAGAGACTTCACATATGGGCTCAGGAAGCTGTTCCCAAGGGCTCATCACTACTTTGGTTGCACTGATAAAGTTTTTTAGCCAAAATAGCTCATGGATACTGTTTATGAAGCATAGGGTTCTGATCAACACCAACGGCCAGAGGGCTCACCACAGTGAAATCATAGATCTTTCAAGTACCAAAACATAAATACTGTGCTATGAGTGGGGTCAAAGTCCCAACACTCCAGACAGATCGTAGGCAGCATCAGAAGTTTAAACTGGGGGCCTCAAGCTAGGTTCACATAAAGCCCACTCCTCCTTGCCTTTCCTTAATTGTGGAAGTAAAGAGATTTGCAGTGTTCTTTTGACATTTTCTACCCTGCTGAAAATCAGAGACATGCTTGGGTCATGGTTATCAAAGGGTCATCCTTGGCATATCTATTTTGAAAATCAGGAATTAAATATGCTGTCATAATTCACGGAGACCACTAGGTGACAGCAGTGATAGGTCTGGAAAAAGCTGAGGGACACATCCCCGTTGCAAGAGATAAAATTCTATTATTACCCCTTTATGCCTCTCCCATCTGAACTTTTCGATGGAAAGTTTCTGGTTCTATTCCAACATGAGTTGACAGGATCATAGATTTAGAGCTGGAAGGAAGTTTAGGGGCCACTGAGTCCAAACCTCTCATTTTACAAATGAGGAAACTGAGGCACAAAAGTGACTTGCCCAGATGATTCACCTAATATATATCTGGTACAGGATTCGAACCCAAATCTTCCTGCCTCTAAGTCCAGTGCCCAATCAACTATGATATGCTGCTTCTAAAGACTCACACCATATCACAGTATTGGCGCCCATTTGCTCTTACTGGTGTCAGGGGCTTGATAAGGACTTCACATCTAGTTTTTATTCCCCATGACTGTTTTTGCCATTGATTCTCTCTCCTTCCCTCCACCCCAGGTATTCCACTGTCCTATCTAGAGAAACATCTCTTGAACCCCTGTTCCAACCTCTTTAATGTCCTTTTAGTGGTGCCATGGGATAATGGCATGCACCTTCATCTTAGAGCCAAGAAAATGGTCTGACTTCTAGCTCTGAACATTTATTCCCTGTGTGGTCTTGGGTGGTCTGATACCATGAAAAGCATGCTGGATTTACAGACAGAAGACCAACCTGGGTTTGAATGCTGGGTCTGTCATTTACTACCTGTGTGGCCTTAGACAAGTCATTTCATCTCAATGGACCTGAATTCTTATTTTGTAAATGACAGGGTTGGATGAGGTGACGTCTAAGGTCCTTTCCAGTTATAAATCCTGACAATGACACCGAGTAGCAGAGAGTCTGTAAAATGGGGGGCACTAAGTGTTTTTATGGGGATGTTGAGATGTGCATGTGGCACTCAGTGAAGGGCTGTATACACGGGCGCTGAATAATCTGAGCAACAGTGTTGTTGTCCACCATCCCATCAGCTTACATCTTTTCAACACTTCACTTTGGAAGCTGAGCTGCTGAGCACCAAATAACTGGATGTGTTACCAGTTAAAGATTTGTTCCTAGCCTAAACAGAAAGGAAAAAGAAAACCCATATTTTTTCCTTTTTTTTTTAATATCTAAGACATATATGTATAAAAAAAATCCACTTGAACATCAGTGATGTGCTGGATCCCAAGGTCCTTTTCCAGTGCAGGGACTGAAGAAGCCAGGGCTGGCTGGGTTATTTCTCTCTCTTTCTTTCTCTTGTTCTCTGTCCTGGGAGAAATTTCAAGGCTGAGTTGGCGCCTGGGACATTTTCCATTTCTTCCCTGTACTTCAAGCTCAATTCTACCCCCTTCGGAAGAGCCCACAGGGATAGTTTTCAAAACATGTGGTGGCACAGGTGGGAATTTATCTTTTTTTTTCGGCTGAGTCATAAAATCATTTGAATAACTGTGTCAAGGCTTATTTCTTGTGGAGAAACTTCATTTTATTTCCTGTAAAGAGAAATAAGGAAAACACTGCATTATCCAGAGAAAAGAAGTGAGTGATGAATCATTTCCTATTTTTCACCCCCTCTAACCTCCATCAAATAGGCCATGTGTAGCAGACTTGGAGATTTGGGCTACTCAGTAAATATAAACTTATTTACTGATTATCAAGCACTTACTATGTGCCAGGCACTGTATTAAAAGCTTTACAAAAATCATCTCATTTGATCCTTACAACAATCCCAGGAGGTAGGTGCTACTATTATCCCCATTTTACAGTTGAGGAAACCAAGGCAGACAGAGATTATATGACTTGCTCTGGGTCACACACCTAGGACATCCTGGAGGCTGAACTTGAACTCAGATCTTCCTGAATGCAGGCCTGGCACTCTGTCCACTGTGCCACCTAGCTTCCCCTAGATTAAATTGATATCTTTGTGTCCTCATGAAATCCGAATGGGATTTTTAAGATATCCAAATGACTACAGCACTAGAGTTTACCATCTGTGAAGCTTCTCAGCTCCTCACAAGGGTCTCTTTCCTTCCTTTCACAAGCCCCCTTCCCTTGGCTCTATGGTATATGACTCAGACCTGAAGGAGTGTCAGCAGAAAGCCCTAGGAGATGGACTTCTCCCCAGATATTGACAAAAAGGGCATTCAGTGGATGCCATCCCTAAGTAATGGAGTGGCCATGGAAATTCCAAGGATACAGTTAAGTTCTAGATCCTGGGAATTTCCACTGCATTTTTTCCTGCATTTGGCAGTACATTTTGATATTTCAACTCACCACCCTACTCAACATGTCCACCTACAGTCCCTTGTTTTTGACACATTTCCCCTCAATGGGGCAGGTCTACGCTTCACCTCTTTTTTTGTTACTTTTATCTTTCTCTTTTTTTCCCAGCAAGTCATATATGTACTAAGACTTTGGGTACACCTTGTATATATTAGAGAAACCGCAGCCCTCTATTAATCTATCTATCTGTGTGTATGAATATATGTGTGTATGTAAGTTTATATGTGTGTGTGTCTGTGTCTCTCTCTCTCTCTCTCTCCATATATGTACATATTTCCACTTTCCAGTACATTTTAAAGACTAGAGTCATCTTCCTTTTCTGATTAATCTTTTCTCTGGTCATGTTCATCTTTCCACTGGCTCCTTCCACCTTTCTTAGGCTGTGTCTTCAGTTCTGACACTTCCTGTGGATCTCCAGGGGCATAAGCAGTGGGCATAAGATTTACCAGGTGCAAAAACTGTGATACAGCAGAAGTAGTACTAGATTTGGCATTAGGGGTCTCAGGTTTGAAACTTGGTTTTCTATACTTACTAGCTATGAGACCATGGGCAAGTCACTTAATCACAGTTTATTCATCAGTAAAATGGACATAATAGTCCTTTCATTATCTTTGAAATAGGGTTGTTGTGTGGAAATCTCTTTGTGAACTTCATGAAAGTGGTATAGAAATGTGAATTACTATTACTGTTTTTTCCCAAATATCTTTGCAGTTTGTAGTTTAACAAAAAAGGATGTGAGAAAAAGAAAAGGAAGGATAGGAGACGGACAGGAGTGGAGTCTGCCAGGGTGAGAATATTGTATCATTTCTGGGAATACACTGTCAGGAGGGAAGAGAAATCCAAATCTAGGGCTAATCTGTTATGGATTAATATGAGCTAGCCAGGTAGGATTCTTGTAGTATTCAAGTAGGAAAAAAATTTTCAAACAAACAAAAAATTTAGAAAGAGGAAAAGGTTACCCCCTCACCCTTCCCCTTACCTAGCCCTTTCAAGAACTTATTGACACCACTTTGTTCACCACTGGGGAGTGTCTCCAGGTACTCCTGTGCTCGGACCTCAAACAGACCTATTGGAAACAGAAATAAGCTTTTTTAATTGTCTTCCAGACACTTTGAAACAGACTAATTTTATTTTAATTTTTTAAAAAATGAATTTTTATTAATGCACTGTTTTTATATCAGCAGTTTCCTCCAATAAGCCTTGCCCCACCCAAAGAACCATCCCATAAAACAAATGGTATTGTTTTTTAAAGACAGAAAAAGATGGAAAAAAAATCAGCATAACTGGTTGATACATGGAAAAGAAAATATGTGCAATGTTAAACAATTGTAGACCTCACCACCTCTGCAAAGAGGTACAGTAATTCTATTCTTATTCAATTTTTAATTGCTATCTTTTGGTTTTACATTACCTTCATTTTCTAATACATTCCTCCTCCCTTCCTCACCCAGCAAGCCATCCTTTTATAACAAAGAATAAAGAACAAAGGGAAAAAGAAAAACAAAACTAACCAATACATCAGTCAAGTCTGACAGTATATGCAGCATTCACAGACCCTCCCTCTCCCCCCCACCTATGAAAAGAAGGGAGAAAGGTTCATTCTCCTATCGCTTCTCTGGGGCCAATTTCACAGCTAAATAATTTTTATTTCATTTTGTAAATTTAATCTAATTTTCTCATTTGGGCACATTTATCCCTTCAGAGATATTCTATTTCCATTTCTGATCGATCATCAATGTACAGTAGCCCTACAATGTTAGCATTAAGTTCTGTGCCTTAAAAGCAATTAAAGGATGGAAACGATTGATTTTGGAGAAACTGTAGAAAGACAGGCACACTAATGCATCATTGATGGAACTGTGAATTGGTCTAATCATTTAGGAAAACAATTTGGAACTATATAAGAAAAGTAACTAAATCCTCTGACTAAAGAGGTTTGACCCCAAGGAGGTCAAAAATAAAGGAAATATCCTCTTATATATACCAAAATATTCACAAGTAGCACTTTTTGTGGTAGTAAAAAAACAAAACAATTAGAAACAAAGTGGGTGCCCATTGACTGGAGAATGGGGAAATAAATTATGCTTCATTCATGTAATGCAACATCATTGAGCAAGGAGAAAAAACCAATAGGAAGAATTCAAAAAAATTTGGAAAGATATGTTTGAACTGATGTATAACAACATAAGAGAGCAATGTATACAATAAATAATCACAATAACGTAAAGAAAACAACACTCAAAACATCCGAACTCAGGTCAATGCAATGACTAAACATAGGATTGATGATGAAATAAACCTTACTCCTCTTCAGAGGTGGTGGACTGTGGGTATGGAATGGAAATTAATGTGTTGGATGTGGTTAACGGGTCAGTTAGTCTTGTTTAACTGCCTCTTTATCATAAAGGAGGATTCTTTTGGGGGTGGGAAGGGTTATTGAGAAGTGACAGCAATGTTTTTTAAAGCATTTAAAAAGTTTCTATGCCTTCAGCCTCAGTGAATATTTAGCAATATTAACACAAAAATTTCCATGGACTAGTGGAAGTCTGTTTTAAAAGAACTCTTTTGAAGAATGAAGACTCCTTTAATAATCTAACTACCCAATCTCTGATTTATCTGCTTTTTTCTTCCTTAAATATCTCCTTGTACTTTGTACTTCCTAAGCAAATAAGACATTCCAGCTGTTTTATGGCTATTTGTTTACCTTGACTAGTTTTCTGTCCTCCATGGAGTTAGGGCCTAGATCTCATTTCATGTCTGTACCCTTCAGAACAGTTCTTTCACATAGTGGGTACTTAATATGTGTTCAATTTAAATCTGTTTTGAAAAAATCAGAGATTTGTGTACCAACTTTGCCTCATAGGGTTGTAAGGATCAAAGAAGATAATTTGTAAAAAGTGCTTAGCATAGTGCCTGGCATATAGTAGGTGCTATATAAATACTTACTCCCTTCCTTTCTCTTACCCTTCCTGTCTCTTATATTATATGTGACTAGACAAGGTAGTACAGGTGGAGGATGTATCTGCTACTCCTCTGTGTCCCTCACAGCACCCAGAATAAATAAGTCTCAACAAATGCTTGTTGACAGGTGGGGGAAAAAAAGGAATTTAAGCTCTCTCCAAAGGGTAGGGGGAGCTATTGAAGGCAGAGAGTTTCCTGTCACAAGGGGTCTCCAAGCAGATTTTGGATGACCACTTACCAAACATGTTGAAGAAGAAATTCAAGGTCCAGGCAGAGCCTGGACTAGATATCTGAGGTCCTTCGAACTTGAAGAATCTATTAATCCCAGATTTCTCCCTTCTACCAACTCTCAATGACCCTTCTCTTTTCGAAGGAGAAGAGAAGAGACCAAAGAGGAGAAAATGGCAGATGATAGAAGGTGGGGGGGAGAATGAAATAAACTACAGAGCTTTCTAAATAGTTAAGATTCCTGAGTGATTTTTCACTTAAACTAGAAGGAGACTGAGATTAAAGCTCTCAATTAAGGAACTAGAATGTCATTCTGGAAAAGAAAATAAAAAAGAGAGGGTGATGGCCTTCACCACTAGTGTGGTGAAGGCACAGCTAGGGTGGCTCAGTGGGTAGAACACTGGGCCTGGAGTTGGGAAGGGCTGGGTTCATATCTGGCTTTAGACACTTCTGAGCTGTTTGATCCTAGTCAAATCACTTAACCACTTTCTGCCTCATTTTCCTCAACTGTAAAATGGGGATCATAATAGTACCTACCTCACAGCATTGTTGTGTAGGGTCAAATGAGATAATCATAAAGTGCTCAGTACAGTGCCTGGCACATTAGTAGGAACTAAATAAATATTAGTGATGACGATGATGATGATGATGATGATGATGATGATGATGAAGGGGAAAGAGCTGTGAACTTAGAGTCAAAGGTATTGTGGAATAATGACCACTCCCTAATTGGCAGGTCAGATTGCTCAACATTTTTATTAATCAGCCAGTAGGGTGACAGCCTTCTTTTGCAAGACTGTCTCATTAGGCGGTACAGTAGATAGAGCATCAGCCCTGGATTCACTTAACCCCACTGCCTAGCCAACAAAAAAACAAAACAAAAAAAGACTGTCCCACTATGGGATCAGAGAACGGAATTTTTATACAGCCATAAAAAAAGAAAACAGGAACATCACGAACATGATGTCCATAGGTAATGTCTTCCTGAGCGCAGTAAGTGGGATAACTTGCTTTTATTGAGGCTAGCGAGAAAAACAGGTTATGTGCTTCAAGGCTAATGAAGGATAGTTCTCTAAAATGGAAGGCACCTGGGCTAAATCTGGTTTTCTACAAGGGACTGGAGCTGTGCTACAGGCCTTACAACCTCAGTTAACTTCGAGCAAATCATATCACCTCTCTAGGCCTCAGTTTCTCTATGTAAAATGAAAAATTAGGACCAGACGACCCCTAAGATCACTTCAGTTCTAGGATCTATGATCCTTTGAGCATCCTAAGTGAACGACAGAAGAGAAGGAAAGGTAAGCAAGTCATGTGGAAAGGGCATGGGACATGCAGTCAAACACCTGTTAGCTGTGCAAAGGGGCCAACTTACTGAACATCTTTTTTTTTTTTTTAGGCAATTGGGCTTAAGTGATTTGCCCAGGGTCACACAGCTAGTAAGTGTCAAGTGTTTGGTCTGGAGGTCAGATTTGAACTCAGGTCCTCCTGACTTTTGGACTGGTGCTCTATCCACTGCACCACCTACCTGCCCCATCTTTAGTATCAATTTCTTTATCCATAAAATTAGAGATAACAATACGTGCTCTCCCTACCTCAAAGGTTTGTGGCAAGGACCAAATAAGATATGGTCAGGGGATCTGTAAAAGGCTACCTCAAGCAGTTTTCACCCACCAAATAGTGGGGTGAATTTAAAGCTTTCCAAATAAGAATTCTAAGGCTATTCTTCCTTGTGCTCCCCTCCCTGCTCCCCACCCCCGATCAGACCCCAACTGGTGACTGACTCTAGCTTGGGCACATTTAGTTGACTCAACACTCTATACCCTACCCTCCTCTTCCCTTTCTTTCCCCTGCCCCCCACCCCGGATTGGGGGAGAAGACATTGAAGATGAGCCTAACCCTTCGCCTCCTGCTTCCGTAGTTCCCGTTCCTGGATGAAGCCCCGGAAGGTCTGTGTTTCCATGAAGACCTCCAGGAAGCGTCGGAGGCTTTTGGAGGAGACAGCTTTTCGGAAAGCCTCCCGCTGCAAAGTCCTCTCCTCCCGTTCGTTGGCTATCAGGAACAGGGAGTAATGACCCACAACTTCCACAAAGAATCGAACAAAGGCTTCAGATACCACCTCATCCAAGGGACTGAACTCTGGGCCTGCAGAGAGCAGAGGGAAAGGTGGGGTGTGTGAGACAGAAGGAAAGAGATGAGGCTGCACCACAGCCTTTGTGACAAATTAATAAAAATGAATCTGGCCTAGCTATAATAGTATAGATATAGCAGACTCGCTAACTGCTTTCCTGTTCTTCTTGGTACATGTTTTGTTCCAGTGCACTGGTCATAGTAGTCAATTAATAAAATGTTTACAGAATTGAATTGAAAGGAAAGGATGGGGAAGAAGGATCACGTATGATCAGGCTGTCTCATGTAGTGGACTGAGAGCCAGCCTCAAAGCCAGGATGACCCAGGTTCAAGTCCTATCTCTGCAATATGTTGGCTTTGTGACCCTGAGAAAGTCACTTAATGTCTGTGTTCTAAGTAACTCTTGCCGCCTCTAACTAGCAAAGAATATACTGACCTGTACTGGTAGAGGGAATTTCTCCACCTGTAGCAATGAAATCACAGGTGCAGGCCCTGTCTCTAGGTATCAGCATGGTGGCAGAACACTGGAAGAATTCTAGACTACCTGGCTTTGGAGCCTGATTCTATAATGTGGCCAGGACACTTCCACATTTTGGGTCTCAGTTTCCTTATGTACAAAATAAGGGGGTAAGACTAGAGCCAAGGGGTGTGTGTGTGTGTGTGTGTGTGTGTGTGTGTGTGTGTGTGTGTGTGATGGTCTCCTTTGGTAATATAGTGAAACTTATATAACTAAAATGTATATAAAACCCTTTTCAGAATAATGTTTTTAAATGCACAATATAAAATATATAAGACTACAAAGGAAACCAATTAGATTGAAATAAAAATGCCTCAGACCTCCTGAAATCTATCCATAGATCCCTTGGGTCTAGAGGGACCTCAGGTTAAGAGCCACTGGATCAGATGATCTAGAAGATCCCCTCCAGTTGATCCCCTCCTATGATCCTATGAAAAGCTAAGTTCTGAGCATTTCTTCTCCCATTTCGATTTTGTCCGTTCTTCCAGAATACCCCCATTTTCAAGTTACTTGGGAGAATGACAGCCCCCCTGGGGCATCATCCCCTTTGTTTCCTATGCTTAAAGACAGAGTCAAGGGGCATGGTGGAGGAAGGGAAATGCTTGGCAGCAGGCACAGTTGAGGTGCATCTTGAGCATTTACCGTATTTACAATCTAAAGGACCCTCATCTTGGTCACTAGCCAGGTCATTCCTCTGCTCCAGGATGTGTTCCAAGGCTACTTGCAGCTTTCGGGGCAGAATGGAATCCTCATCTTCCATCTATAAAGCAGACAGAAGCAGTAATGAGCAAAGATGCAGCCACATCCTGGCCAAAGTCACAGGGATGTACATTGGCTAAGTCCCAGGGCAATTTTGACTTGGTCTTGTCTCAGCATAGCAGATATGAATCAGGGGATATGCATCAGGATGACTATCTACATCCCAGGGAGGCCTTGGAGGAGGCCTTATGAGTTTAGTTGAGCAATGGGTGCCCTGAAGTTAACTTGATCTCTAGGGAAGGAAAGGGAAGGGAGTATGAATGTTAAATTTTGGAAGACAAAATAGAAATTCACAACACTAGCTGTCAGGAAAAGGGAGTAAATCTGTTGTCAATGGGAATTTCAAATTCATGACTGACATCCTGGTATACCCATTTAATTTTTAAAAATTCTCTTTGCAAGTTTTGGTATGAGCCACATTTTTCTGTTAAGATTATTAGTCAGATAATTTAAAAATTGGCCAGAGTTTAGACTTTAGTTATAATACTCACCCTACCTACCACACAGAGCTGTGTGGTGAGCAAAGTGTTTTGTAATCCATTAAAAAGCTATAAGTGTGTGTTATTATTATTACTTCTTAGATACATATACTCACACTATTTAATAAAAATGATTTTGTTACAAAACATATAGAAATTAATCTCTTTCTTCATAGCATTTCTACTTTTGTCCTGCCCTCCTTAATCATTCTCAAAACTGACTATAAATGAGGGAGATGGCCTTGCCAATCCTCTGCTCTCCCCAGCTCCTTAACCCAGAAACACTTCCACAGCTAAAAAAGTTGAGCCCCAAACAGAAGTGACTCAGAAACAAGAAAAAAAAATCACATGGTTAGGTCATCTTACCTGTCTAAGGAAACGATTGTTTACAAGGTCTACCACGAGGACCTGAGGGATAGGAGAGAGAAAGGGCTGTTATTTCCTGTTACTGGAGCTCCTGAAATGCAGGAATGACCGCTTGACTTCTCTCCTTTTTGCCACACTGAACTAGAGCAGAGGCTTGAAAGAAATAGGGCATTTGCTGTGGTTTTATGGCCGTGTCACTGCCACCACTAATGATAGGGGGAAAGGTCTACTGGCTTGTCCTCAATTGCTTTAATTCAACACTCAGACAAGCTGGGCAGAGGCGACAGACCAGCCTCATTCACAGTCTTGTTTCTAGGCTTGGCTAACTTTTCTTAAGTGTTTCTCAAACCACTTCTGTTCCTGGACTACTGTGATAGGGCAGAAGACAACTCTGATCATATTCTATACCTGCTGTCACTTCCTCCACCTCCAAATTAAAACACACCTTTGCCCCTTGGTCCACATCTCACTCTCAGTTAACTGACCCACGACCTACTTGTCATTTCAGTGTGAAGCAGAAAGGGATGGGGTCATGGCTTCTCAGTAGGGATAAGAAGGGGAGTATAGGGAGGAAGAAGGCAGAGACTAGAGGCCCCAGTGCTCTCAAGCAGCAGTTGATAGATTTCCAGCAGTAACTTAGTCCTCTATCCTATGGGGGCAGAGAACCTCAGTTAGGAACCAGCACATCCTACCTTGGCATTTTGGACCAGGCTGGAAACTCCTTGGAGAGCCTTCCTATCAGATTTGACTCTGACAACCCCTGGTCTCAAGACAGCCCTGAGCTGTTCTCTACTTTGGAGAAAGAGCCAGGCACCTAGATTTTGAATATGGCAAGTTGCTCAGGAAAAGGAGGTGCTAACATTGGCCATAGTGGCACAGGCTTGAAAGTTAAGTCTGATGCCCCTCCCTGCTTCTCAAACATCAAAGGTTGGTCTCCTCTGGACACCTTGAAAGACTAGAAAGGACAGCCAGACACCATTCTTCTAGCTCCAGACCCAAAGTAGATAACCTGTGATTGACAATTCACATTTGACATGAGCTCCAAGAGGCATCTGGCTAGGCCCTAGATCCCAATGTTGCTGCCAGGGTTGGCCTACTTCTCCTGAACATTCCTGGGGAAGGATGAAGAGGGTTGTAGAGATACTTTAAGTACTGTGTCAATGCCTAAGGCTTTGTTTAGAATATGCAGGGAAATTTTTTTTTAATAATCTCTAGGGGCATCCTGGGATGAAGCTGTATGATGGAATCCCAAATGTTCCCTAATCCCACCCCTCCAATCCCCAGACTTGTCTGATTACTAACTAGCCCAGTAATAAAAAGGGGCAAAAGTTATGTTGTGAGCAGAACCAAAGAAAATAATTTTGGTGTAATTTGGAAATGCTGATTTGACTTTTCTCCACTTTGATGAGTAGGTTGTGAAACAACAGAAACTTAATGATGGATTACATTTTTAAAATTTCTAAAACACTTATGTGAAAGAAGACTCACTGAAAAAAGTAACAATAAGTGACCCTATCATCAGTTGTAACGAGCCACGTTCAACCTAGAAGTGTTCTTGCTGCTCTTTAATTATCTTAGGCCTGGGAGTTGGGGAGCTAATAGGTTTTGGAGGCTGGGGAGAGGGGCACTGTCCTCACTTTGAACTGAGAAGAAGCAACATTCCAGCTCAGTCCTCAAACAGACAGCCCTGTTCAGTGGTCAGGTGGGTATGCCTCATAGCATGGAGAGATAGTAGTGAATGACAAGAAGAATAAATGCTGTGTTTATCCTTGAGATGACTGGACTGTTAGTTAAAGATCTATGTGTAATGAGGGTCTGGCAAACGAGCAGAACACTTCTAATACTACTCTCCACATGGCAGAGACCAAGGAGCCTATTTCTGGGGGAATTGCAATGATGTGCAATGGAAGTGCCTTGCAGAAACTGTGGAACATATACAGACACTCTCTACCTGGTTCCAATCTGCTAAGCACTTGGTTAGGAGGAGCCTTTTTGATTGGCTGCAAAGTGGGGACTGGGCTTCCTTCCAAAGGCCTTGCTTGTTTCAGAGGGGAAAAGGCCTGAGGCCTCTCACCTTACAGCACTGCTTCTCACCTAATGCTGTCAGCAAAGGTGTCAAACCATGAGAGGACAACCCAAGAAATAATAGTGAAAACTGAGTAAGGCCTTTGCTGAGGCCTTTGAAGGTGTCCACAGTTCTGGTTCTTCAACAGCATTCAAGGCTGCCATTCACTACGTCATTAGTGTACTGTAATCAGTTACAGAACGTCTAAACATGCTTCCTTCCCCAAAGACATCTCCATTTCGTGTCATCATGACTCACCCCAAAGCAGGTTCCCCAGCTTCTACATGTGGGAGGTATCAACACCAAGGAATTTTGAGCATTATACATGGATCCAAGGAAATGGAGCCTGAGTTAGCACCTTCCATCAGCTCTGAATTTTAACAAAGCAGTTGTTCCTGTTTGAGGGAAACTGAACCATCCCTGGGAACTCACCTCTTCCAAGGGCAGCTCCTTGAGCAAAGGCAGTGAGCTGGAGAGCAGCCCAATCAGGAAGGGAGTTGGTGAGCACACGATGTCAATCATGGATGGCGGCAGCACGGGGATGTAGGTATGTTGCCAAGTGAAGGGATAGATGAGGGCCACCATGGCATGGCAGCACTTGGAGAGGGTACTGGTGACCAGGCCACAGAACAGAGAGACAAGATTATTTCAGGAAGGTGAACAAAGGATGAGAACCTCAATGCCTGAAGCTTGCCTGCTGGGGTAGCCTTCTTGCGCTTAGAGTGGGTAGTGAGACTCTCTGAGGATAGCATAACAGAAATATTTAGAATTAGCCCATGGTGGAGACTGGTGAGAGACTTGGGACTCTTGCTCGAAGGCTGCTCTAGCTTACTGAGTCTGAATATTTGTACATTAGACTGAAAAAACCTCAACCAAAGGTATTCATGCTTTCCTTGTTGGTGAAACACTCAATACCCTTTGCTCCACAGAACTCTGGGCATTGCTCAGAATATTCTTGGAGTTCTCCCTGTCTTGTGCCTTTGCCTTGGCTGTTTCCTGTGCCTCTATGTGCGTGATCTGAACGTCCACCTCTCAGAATCCCTGGTTTCCTTTAGGACTCAGTTTAAAGGCTGCCTCCTACAGGAAGCTGTTAGTGGCTTCCCTTTCAAGGCTATCCATCAATCTACTCTCTTTATATTGTATATATTGCTTTGTGCATATGTTGTGTTCCTTATAAGAATGTAAACTCATTGAGGGCAGGGACTGTTTTTGTTTTTCTTCGTATCCCCAATACTTTGCATAGTGCCTGACACATAGTAAGTGCTCAATAAATGCTTGCTGACTGAGGGGAAAGACATGCTATCTGATATACCTGGAAGATACTTCCTTTTCTAAAGGAATAAATAATAAATAATAAAACCCCTTTAAAATAATAAACATGAAATTATCTATGTACTGAAAATATATGTAGGTTTGGGTTGCTTTTTTTTTGGGAGGAGTGGGGTAGAGATTAAGAAAATAGGCTTATTTTCCTCTACTTTGTTCTAAAATTTCCCTAAAGCCCAACTTACCATGTGGGTATTCCAAACTCTCACCTACAGCATTTATAGGTTCAAGCCCCCAAAGGTCCTGTGGCCAAATTACATTGGAAATGCTGCTCTATAGAGTTGTCTGTTGTTGTTCAGTCTTTTTTCAGTCATGTCTGACTCTTCAAGACCCCATCTGGAGTTTTCTTGGCAAAGATACTGGAGTGGTTTGCCATCCATTTCCTTCTCCAGCTCATTTTACAGATGAGGAAACTGAGACAAACAGGGTTAAGTGACTTGTCCAGGCTCATGCAACCAGTAAGTGTCTGAGGTCGGATCTGAACTCAGGAAGAGGAGTCTTCTAGACTCCAGACTCAGCACTCTGTCCCCTGCACTGCCCAGCTACCCTAGCTCTGAGTCTGGAGTCAGATTTGTTAGTATACCTTTTACAATAGCTGGCTTCCTGAAAAGATGCTTGTAAATCAGATTTTCATCAATCAAGCCTTTTTTTCTCAGTGACTATCATTCTTTCAGAGATAATCTGTCCTCATTTTCTGTTGATCCTCAATGGGCAAAAAGTCCTAACAGTTTAACTTTTGAATCCCTCCGTGCCACCTCCCTGCCCCCTTCTACCTTTCTACTGCCAAACCACCACCTAAATCCACTAAGGGAGTTCCTTAGGTAAAAATTAATCTGAGGACAATCTGTTTATAAACCATGGTTTTCCTGGAATGTGAATAATCACTTGCTAATTCTTCTGCTTGATGAGATCACTTCCAAACTTCATAGTCTGGGGTGGCAGTTATTTAAGAGGGCTGAGTTTTCCAGATAGCCCCAGTTTACTCTTTAACTACCCAAGCTATTGTTTTCCTTTCATCATTTTGCATGAAAAGTTTTCCAAAATATGATATACTTATCTGCTCCCTCAGTCAGATCATGCTAAATACAATTTAATTATTTTCTTAATGAATCATTAGGAACATCAATTACTGCTCAGTTTTGTAATATCCCTCAAGGGTCTATTGAAGTGTGCTGTGCTGTTTACTGTCTCAGACTGCCCTGAGAAAAATGCCCCGAGACTGCTGTGCCTTTGAATCCTTGTGTCTTCATTTTAGGTGTCTGTTAGTTATTAGTGATCTCTTTTCTTTTCTTTTTCTTTCGTTTTCTCTCTCGGCAATCGGGGTTAAGTGACTTGCCCAGGGTCACACAGCTAGTAAGTGTCAAGTGTTTGGTCTGAAGCCCGTATTTGAACTCAGGTCCTCCTGACTTCAGGGCCGGTGCTCAATCTACTGCGCCACCTAGCTGCCCCAACTTTTTTTTACTATCAATGTACTTATACACAGCCCTTCCTTTTCTGTCTCATTTGCTACTAGTATGTTGTAGGTTTAGAAACCAAATAAAAAAGCTATTAAACTTATGTGTAAGAGAAAAATGGATTTTTGAGTAAAGGCCTGGGGAGTTCATGAATAATGTTCATGACCTCTAGAGTGTGGGATTTTGTGAAACTGATTTTTACTGATGTCTTTGTTTCTATAGTGCCTTTAATTCTTAATATAACCCTCCCTGCTCCCCATGGCAGTAAGCCATCCCTTATAACAAAAAACTAAAGAAAGAGGGGGAAAAAAACAATTCAGCAAAACCAGGAAACTCAGTAACGTCCTCTGATAATATATGCCGTATTCCATAGCCACAGTTCCCCAACTCCACAAGGGAGACAGAGTAGTACATTTTCTCAGCTATCAAGAGAGCCAAGCTTGGTTTGACACTGATTGACTTATTTTCCCACCTTACTGATCTCCTGGACTTTGTCATCTCCAGTAACTCATCACCCTGAAAGATGACATCAACTCTGAAACCTTCTCAGTACCTCAGGCCTTGGGACCCCTCCTTCTTTCTTGATTGAACAGGGTGGACATTGGAGAACTCCTCCTAGATCCTCCATTCACGAGGGGGTCCAGGGCAGTCATCTTTTCCCACCTGGCTGCAGGGATTATCATGCCCTCTCTCTGGGTACTCTTCTCCTTTCCCCATACCCTTTTCATCAGGGGTCATCTCCAGTCGTCCTGATCTATATCTGGCCACTGGACCCAGATGGCTCTGGAGGACAGAGTGAGACTGGTGACTTTGCACAGCCCTCCTTCACATTTTAAATCCAATTCACTTTCGAGTCATGGGCATCATCTTCCTAATATCATGGTCCTCTTAGAGAGTGAAGGATAAACAGCAGCAACCCTTTCCATTTCCCTTTTGTGGGCTGTCTTTCCCCATTAGATTGTGAGCTCCTTGAGGGTGGGCACTGTCTTTATGTTTTTCTTATATATGTGCTTAGTACAGTGAATAGCACAAAGTAGGCATTTAATAAATGTTTACCGACTATGGATTACTGTTGATAGGTGGGGGCCTTTTTTTTGTTTTCTTTCTGGTTCTTGGCTGCAAGAAACAAGGTTGCTGAACTGCTGGTTCTGGATAGCTGGGTTCTGGATTACTATATTGGATTTTCTTAATGTAAATATTAATTGAGGTAGAGGAGAATCCTCCTCCTTTACATTAAAATAAAATATACTTTTAGTTTTGGGGCTCTTACCCTCTAAGAGACTACTTAGATATTAGCTACACTTACAAACAGAATAGACTGATGGTAAGGCAAAGGGATGGACCATCTAAGCTATAAAAGATAAGAACTCTTACTGAAGAAGGAAAGCTGAGCCTGAGAGAAAATTGAGAGAAATTAGACTATAGACCAGGGATTTAATACTTCTGAAGATTCATGACTTTATTAAGTCACAAATATGGATACTTTTGGTTCAACCTCCCTCATTATATATTATACATATATTAATGAGGACAGATATCCATGGAGGTTGTGACTTGTTGAAGACCACCAAGATGGTAAGAGCCTGAGCCAGGGATATACTGGAGCTGGTTCAAGAGAGCCAGCTTGAGGGGCAGCTAGGTGGCACAGTGGATAGAGCACCAGCCCTGAAGTCAGGAGGACCTGAGTTCAAATCCGGCCTCAGACCAAACACTTGACATTTCCTAGCTGTGTGACCCTGGGCAAGTCACTTAACCCCAGTTGCCTAAAAGCAAAAAAAAAAAAAGAGAGAGACAGCTTGTTAAATTTTTAGCATAAGCACTTACGCCTTAGAAATCAGCAAACACAATAAATCCAGGTTTGATTTATTGTTTTGCTTATTGTACAGACTTAAGAAATTGATGGAGAAATGTTATTAATGTAGATTTGACTTAAAAATGTGTTGCACACACTTTTTCTTTGGGTTGGTAAACAATTACCAGACATCCCTGGCCAAAGTGAACTTCAACCTCGGGTCCCGTGACTAAAAATTGAATCCTCTTTCCACCTCACCATACTGCATCCTCTCTCCAAGATGATCTCTACGTTCCTTTTCAGCTTAGAAATTCCATGAGGTTTTTTTTTCTTCTAGCAGTGGGGATGGATTTGTACTGAGTCACACACATGCCCTTTCACAACCAGTCCACATGGACAAAGGCAAGCATTTGGAAGGGTGGGGTTAGGTTTGCCCTCTGTGATCTGCTGTTGAAAAGATATGACTACAAATATTAGCTGTAGACTTCTCAAATGCAGGAGTTACATTTCACTTTAAAAATTTTTTTGATAATCTTTTCAGCATCAATGTAGGTCTTTAAATATGTGTATATAATTTATATATGTGTGTATACATATGTGTATATATACACACACCTACTATGACCTTAATTTTTAAACATTATGAGTTCCAAATTCTCTCCTTCCCTCTACCACTGAGAAGGCAAGCAATATGACATCAATTATAAGTGTGAAGGCATGTAAAACATGTTTCCATATTAGTCATTCAACTTAGGACTTTAATGAATATTTGTTGAATCAAACATTGGTAAATGTGGTATGGGGCACCTATATATAAAGCATATGGAAAGGCAGTGTGGTATTGTGGATACAGAGTTGGTCTTGAAGCCAGAAAGACCTGGGTTCAAATCTCACCTCGGTTACACATTGGCTATATGATGCTAGATTTCACTTTATTTTTTAGTGCCAGAGGCAATTCTCTCTGTCTCTGTCACACAGCTAGTGTCTGAGGCTGGATTTGAACTCGGGTCCTCCTAACTCCAGGGCCAATGCTCCATC